GGTTGACTCAGCCTTCCATCCTTCCGAGGTGGGTAAAATGAGGACCCGGATTTGTTGGGGGCAATATGCTGACTCTCTGTAAATCGCTTAGAGAGGGCTGAAAGCCCTATGAAGCGGTATATAAGTCTACTGCTATTGCTATTGCCCAATAATTGTGCACTCATAGATATTCTCCTAAGCCAAAACCTTACTTTTACTTTCTTAAATATTCAGGTTTGATGTTTATTAACACTTCAGAATGACCGAGAGCACTGCAGTTGTTCAATAATAAAATTAATCCTCCAAAATACAACTTGCCTAATAATAGTACACACAATGTAATTTACATTAAATTATTTAAAAGTCAGTTGCTTTTGGTGGGTCTGTATTCCCCATGTTTAAAATGTGATTCTTAGGTCTACAATGTAAAGAATCTAAAACTCAAATATTGCCTGCTGTGAATTACCTCTTTTTGAGTAGGAGGGAGAGGCAAATAAGAAAGATGATCTGACTTAAAATAGAACAATTACTGGTCTGAGTCAAGTTAAATGTGAAATCAAAATGCCGTGACTCAACTTTCACATCGAAATAAAAAGAGTGAACTTAGTAGTTGCCATTCTTCTTACTTGTGCTCAGCAAGGAAGGATGAAGTGGGCTTTGATTCCCCAAAATGTTCATTCTTGTGCTTCGCTTCTGCAGAACAAAGCATAGAATCATTAAGCATTAGCAGTTGTATGGAGCAAAAAGCACAAAGTCCGACCTGGTTCTCTTGAGAGGAAAAAGAAACCCAGATGCAAATCTATGAAGCTCACTGGAGTGGGATGTGGACCACGAACAACATCTTGAGCTCTCTGGTAGAAAGGCAGGATAAAACCAATTCACAGAAAGCAAATAATATAATTTTGAATATCCATTGATATGAATAGTGAAAATAGTGATTCTACAATTAGTTATAGGACAAATAATGTATAACAGGCAATTTGATATACTGTATTTTTGGTGTATAAGATGCACTCCCCCCCCCAAAAAAGTGGGTGGAAATCTCTTTGTGTCTTATACAGTTAATGTTGCCAAAGCCCTGCCCACCCATCGGCCCCCATCGTTCAGCCTCTGCCTCTGCATAATTTGCCTCCTTGCAGCAAATAGCAAACAGCCTGGTCAGCTTCAGCACAGCCTGATTTAGCATGAGCAGTTGATTGGCGATTGGATCTGCCTCCTGGAATACTGTCTATCAGCTGTTTCAGGCTGCGAGGATTGTCATTGCCCATCATCATTGCCACCTATTGCCACCTTTGTGTGCCCCATTTTCTGCCAGTTCCAGGTGGCAATCCCCACCATCTGGAAGGGGAGTGCATCTGGGAGGACAAAAATAGGGCACAGGGAGGCCGAAAATGAGACACACAGAGGCTGAAAACGGAGATGTGGAGGAGGCAATAGGCATCAGCGGTGATGGGTGGTGACGGTAGCAGTGGCGATCCCTGCAGCCTGGAACAGTTGATAGTTGGTGTTCCAGAAGACAGATCCAACTGCCAATCAGCTGTTCGTGCTAAATCAGGCTGTGCTTAAGCTGACCAGACTGTTTGCTTTTTGCTGCAAGGAGGCAAACTGCGCAAAGGCAAAAAAAATTCTTGTTTTACTCTCCAAAAGCTAGGTGCGTCATATAGTCAGGAGCATCTTTTGGTCCAAAAAAATATGGTATGTTTGTATTTTATATATAACATATAAATATGTTGATATATAAGATTACATTATATATTAATTAATAATTTAAGAGTGAGTTTAGTTCAATGATAGAAGTGCTGGCTCAGAAATCATTTCTAGGTCTGCTTAGCCAATCATTCTCTCTCAATACAACCCACCTCATAAGATTGTTGTTATAGGGAAAATAAGAGAAAGGAGTTAGGGTATATTTTTGTGTTTAGCTGATCAAAAATAATAGTCAGGACTTTTTCTTCCATTCCCAAAAACTACCTATTACAGGGGTAGTGCCATCACATTGTCATCACGTGATGTATCGTGATTTTTTCTCCTTTCGCTAAATCAGAGATGGGTTTGGCCAGTGTGTGATGCATCCTACCCACAGGCCACGATTTTGATATCCCTAGCCTATTGTTTCACTAAGAAACTAAGGAGCAGAGCTTTAGATATTCACTATCTAAGAATGGAGATATGGCAGGTAGATTGAAGAGAAAAGCATGTGTATAAAATGATCAATGAACGAAGAACAGAATAAAAATATCTGCACCTATCTATATCTGTTAGATAGGGTGAACATATGAGACAGGACTCAGGCTTCAGTGATAACAATAGCTCTTTATTCAGCAACTACCATATTTTTTGGAGTATAAGACACTCTGGAGTATAAGACACACCAAGATTTTGAAGAGGCAAATTAAAAAAAAGTGTTTGCACTCTGCAGACCTCCCCAAAATGGTCTGTTTTTTTGCTCATTTCTGCCCTCCCCCCTCCCAGGAAAGCCTCCTAAAGGCTATGCACGGTCATTTTGGTGAAGGGGCGAGGTTTTGGGATGCAAAAAAATGCTGTATTTGATGTATAAGATGCACCCAGATTTTCAGCCTCTTTTTTGAGGGAAAAAGGTGTGTCTTATATGGTATGTACAAATCCAGCACTGGTCCGTCTAACAGCTAGATCTTTTATAGGGAGCTGTCAGACGGCACAGCCAATCGGCTTTGAGTATTCTCCTGCCGAATGGAGGACCTTGGTGGAGCCTATTGCTCCAGTCTCAATATGTAACAATATCCTATAAATAATAATAAAACCTAAAACCTAAAACCTAAATCCATTGCCCCTTCATTCAATTAATGCATGAAGAGGGCATAGCCTGACATATCTTTCTAGATTTGGCCCATGTACATCTTCTTAACATGAAACAATTTCTTAACATCTGTAAAATGCCACCCAAAGGATTGTAATGATTTTCCTAATAATCATTCCCATATCAGAGGAATCACATCCTGAAATGTCATTACCACCTCATTACTAATGGATATTTGAAGAACCATTAACAGTAACATAGTAAATAATGTCTTTCTTCAATCAAATTTCAAATTCTTTTAAAAACATGAGTACAACAGCCCCTGTCCCATAGCTGATAGCTCCATCTATTGTGCAGTCCCATGACTTGGGATTGCTTACAATACAAGATACAAGAGATTACAACAATAATGAAGTGCTCTTCTAACTTGTGATTGTTTCACATATATGTTTACAGAGAAAGGTTTTGCCAATTGGCAAAGCAGAATGCAATCTCTTACCCTCCATGCATGGCCTTCCTCCAAAGCTGCACACTGTGCTTCTTCTGGATTTTCAATCACTCTTCCTATTTGTCCAGAAAAATCCATTGCTACTAATGAATTTTCAGAAACACTTCTCTGAAAGATTTTTTTAAAAAGATCATTAAAATAACAATAACATGAAAACTGAAATGTTAGAAAAATAACACCTGGGCAGAATATATAAAATAACTGCTAATATGACTGCAATCACTCATTCAAAGGAAAACTTGATGAAATAAATCAAGCAGACATTAAATAATGGGTATGGAAACTATGGTTCTTAATGGTCCCAACAGCATGTCAGGTGAGGTATATTGGGTCACTGTAATTGAGAACAGATCTCCAACCAAATTTAAAATAAATTCCAAAGGACAACAAATAGAACAGTGTTTCTCAACCTCAGAACTTAGTTATATGGATTTTTAACTCCCAAAATTCCCTAGCCAAAAACACTAAAATGAAACACTGTTCTAATTACTCCCTGACAAGACAGACAATAAAATTCTGAGATAAATAGTAGAGTAGAACTTCTAGCCATCTCATTTATTGGTATATAATTAAATGTAGTTAGGCAAATTGGATTTGCATTGCAATCCCATCCTTTAGTGCAATTTACACATTATTTCATTTTACTGATTAGTGATATTTTTTTTTACTTCTTTGGTTTTCTTATGATGTAAATTACTAAGACTGTAACAGGATTATCATACTGACTCTATAAAAGTATAGGGAGTGTTTCTCAACTTTAGCAATCTTAGGATGAGTGAACTTCAATTTCATTCTGGCTGGGGAATACTGGGAATTGAAATCCAGACATTCTGAAAGTTGAGAAAAAATAGTGTTGGGAATGTCAAGATTGGGTAGTTAAAAGAGCTTTTGTCATTCAATGAGAAAAAGCAACTTGAACTCCTGGTATATTAGACAAATAATCTCTATACTTAAATTAACTTACCGCAGGAGTGGCAAAGTGAGGAAGCAGATTGTTCCTCTGTTGTGGAATTCTGTAATTTTGGTATAGCAACATCCCATACTGAAAAGTAGACAGAGAAAAAAAGCATTTGTTTTTTTTTATTCCGATTGTGATCATGGATTGTTTTGGGTTGGAGGGCACAGCTTAAATCATAGACTTTGGCCTAAGAATTCTGTTCAGTTTTCAGTTTCTTCAGAGGAAGGCAACTGCAGTAAAAGAATAACCCTTCTATTTCTACAGAGGTAGCAAAATAGGACAATCATACTGAAATTGGCAATATTTTACTACTGAATATATAGAAGATCATTATAGCATAGAAATAATATCCTTCCTTCTTTCTTTCTTTCTTTCTTTCTTTCTTTCTTTCTTTCTTTCTTTCTTTCTTTATATTATATTAGATTAGATTTATAGAACTTAAAACAGTGTGGCATATAACAAAATAAATAAGTACAAACAAAAGCAAGTATATAGTTTTTTTTAAAAAAAATACCCACTATCTAAAATATAACTCGAAAACCAAACATAACAACTAAACAACCAAAAGAAAAATCCACTCAATTAGATCCAAATGCTGGGGTAACCTCAATTATTCTTTTTTGTTTCTAGTCCTTCTCTTTTGTTAAACAGATTTGTTTCATTTAATTAATAATATTGATTTTAAATCAACCAATCAGTTGAATAGCTTGCCGTGAAACACTGTAGGTGCTCCATCAGCGGAAGCTTTTAAGAAGGGACTGGGGGACAACCCGGAAGTGTTGTGGCGAGAATGGCTGGGGAAATAGCTAGCTCTGCTGTGCTACACAAAAACCCAGCCAGCAAACCACTGTCCAGAGGTCCTTGGTGGACCAGAACTGTCCTGAAGAGATGAGGCACAACGAGAGGCATTTCAGGCAACTGTGAGGAGTGAGGCAAACTCCCCAGCAAGTCCAACTCAAAGCTCTTTAAAGATTGGTAATGGGGTAGCAGCCATCTTCGAATGACCGCTCTGGAGCTGGGGCATCTGGAACAAGTTTGGTACAGGAGCAGAGGAAGAGACAGAGAGTTTGATCTGGAGGAAGATTGGGCAATGTTAACATTAAAAGAAATTAATTTTGGTGCTTAAAAAATTTTCCGGAGCTAAGCTAGTGGCTAACATCACTCGGAACACGGAGGGCGGAAAGGAGAAAAAAGCTATTGGTGATAAAATACCAAGTCTAAGGAGAATTTGATTAATAAAACTGGAACTGGAAAAATTCCAAACTATAAAATGGAAGATTTGGACAATTTGTGTATGGATTTTGAGCCTTTGATTTGACTTTTGGCAAATTTTGACTAATTAGTAATTTGATCGTACAGAGGAACAACAAAATCCATCTACTGGAGAGAAGAAACATATTGGCATTTTGAAACAAAGCATTTTGAAGGAGGGTGTGGTCCATCTTTTCTATCTGACTTCATTTTGTCTACACTGGAAGAAAATAAAGAATTTTCAAAAAGGACTGGAACTATCCTGGGACTTGATATTAAAGAGTGGAAATAAGAAGAGGGATTGATTTAATTGTGGTAAAATGTGAAAAATATTAAAACTGATCATGGAGGGTGGGATGTTTGAGGAATTGTTGGAAATGTTAAAAAATGCACGAGCAACATTAAAAGGTAACAAAGAGGCAAGAAAAGGAACCAGAAAAATTGTTGAAACTGGAAACAGGAGGGGAACAGGCAAGTAACATAAATGAACAAGAAGTTAACAAGGTAGAAAAAGAAATGGAAAAGAAAACTCAATGGGGTAATACTAGTGAGATTTATAGAGGAACAAAAAGAGTAGAGAGGAAAAAAGGGAAATTGTATCCGAAAAAGACATTAGCCAAAAATAAAGAGAAAAATCATGGGAAATGGAAAGAGAAATTTGGGGAAGAGATACTCAAATAACCTATCGAAAAGCGATAGAAAAAAAGAAAAGATACAAGACATATAAAAAGAGAAGAGAAATAGGAGATTAGTAGAATGATATGAACTAGTAGAATGAAATGAAATATTGTAAACAAGGTAACAGTATATAGTATAGGATGTGTATGAGTTATATTAATACTCTTAAATGTGTAATTAATGCTGACTGTACAAAAAATTTTTAAAAATGATATTGTTTATATATGTAAATGAGAAATGGGAAAATATGAGAAGAAAAGTAATATGGCTAAAATTGGAAATAATGGAAATATAATGTAGAATGAATTTTGTGTTTGTGGGAATGTTAAAAGGGAAATCCAGACAACACTTTGTTTACAAAAGAATTTTTTATTATGTAACAAAAATAAACTAAAAAACTTTTTATAAAAAAATAAAGAAGGGACTAGACAGCCATTTATCTGGAATGGTGTAGGGACTCCTGCTTAATAAGGGGGTTGGAATAGAACAGGGATGTCAAACTCAAGGGTTGGGGCCGGATCGGGCCCATGGAGTGCTTAGATCTGGTCTGCAGGACTGCCCTGAAAACACTGCCCACAGTGCCTCTACCAGTGAAAATGGAGCTTGCAAGGGTACAGCCCTCCTGACTTCCATTTTTGGTGTTAGAGGGTTGCAGGAGGCTGTCACAGCCAAAAATGGAGCTCGGGAGCCCGTTTTCACTGACAAGAGTGGTCGGGCCACCACAGGCTTCCCCCTGACATGAGTAATGTCACATCCACCATGGCCACACCTGCCTTGCCTCCCAAGGTCAAACACAGTGCCCTGATGTGGCCCTCAATGAAATCGATACCCCTGGACTATAAACTCTCCAAGGTCCCTTCCAACTCTGTTATTCCTCATACTATTCTCAAGAAATGGCTATTGCTTTCATTATTTACCCAATCCAGAGCAATCCAGATAATCCTCATTTAATGACTACAACTGGAGCCAGAAACTTTATTGCTAAATGAAGTAGTTGCTAAGTGGGAAAACAGTGAGCTGGAATGTCCCAAAGGTGCCTTTTTAAGGAGACAACTGGACTTTGTTTTTTCTTTTGAAGGTGTTTTACTTCTCATCCAAGAAGCTTCTTCAGCTCTGACAGGGGGAAATGGAAGGATTTGCATTCCTTGCAGATAGCTGGTAATCTACATCCTTTTAGAGGATTATTGAAGCACTTTTGGAGATTTATCTGTGTTTTGGGGGAGAGGCGTCACCTGAACCACTACTCAATGACCCTCTAAAAGGATGCAGATTACCAGCTATCTGCAAGGAATATAAATCCTTCCATTCCTCACTGCCTGTCAGAGTTAAAGAAGCTTCTTGGATAAGAAAGAAAAGAAAAAAAACAAGAAAGTCCAGTTGCCTCCATGGTTAAGGATGACCAATAATCTCTAGAGACAGTGAACTGGAATGTGCACTCTAGTTTAAAACTGACAAAATTATGTCCTGGGATAATTAACCATGGGAATTACATTCCCTTATTGTTAATTCATTCATTGGGTAGGAAGGGTTTACATGTAATCTCTCCACTCTGTAAGGAAGGGGAGGGGAGGAAAAGACAAGCAATTTTTGTAGACAATCTCTCCTGTGCCCGGCCTTCTTTTTTCTCCTCCTTCCTCGCATTGTGGAGGCTAGAAAGGAAGGAATTATGAGAGAGTAAGCAGGTATACATTGGGGAATATACTTGCTGTTTTTCAGCACATTTCCTTTGACATGTATCCTCCATTATGTGCCTACTCTCTTGTAATACTTTCCTCTCCAATAATTTTCCTTTGCAAAGTTGTGGGGCGGGGGGAGGGATAACAAATCAGGAGAGAACATTGCATGACTGCAATGACTACAACTTGCAAAAATCATGAATGTGAACAGTTATAAAGTTACTTTTTCAACGTAACTCTAATTTTGAACAAGGCATTCACATGCAAGAACTACCTGTAATAGTCTGAAACACTAAAATTGCTCTTTCATCCAAACATTCATTGTGGGTTTTTTTTGCTTTATTAATCAGGACTGCAGTGTATAAGTTATGTTCTTTAGAACTTGGTTTCAAAATGGTTCCAATTGTTCCTGTTGCGGCCCGCCAGTGGCCAGCGGAGCTGCCAGCTGAGTCGGACAGTGAGGAGGTTGGGAAGGAACATGGGCCAGTCCTGGAGTCTGAGGAAGGCTCTGATGAGGGCTCTGTGTCAGAGGCAGAGAGTGGGCCAGAGCCATATGCCAGCTATCATTTGCCTTCAGAGTCCAACATCAGTGAGGCAGATGAACAGCTGGAGCCTGTTTCCAGTGTGCGCATGCACAGAGTTACCAGATGAAGGGAATAACTAAAGAACAGGGGTCGACTTGGGAGTAAGGCCAAATGATGAATGGCCTCTCCCAGAGGAAATAAGAGAGGAGTGAAAGAGTGGAGTTTGCAAGAGACAATTAGTTCACTAATTGATTAGTGACTCTCCAAGACTCCTTGCCAAGTTCTGCAGATATCGGCCTGTCAGCGCTCCAAGCCAGATAAGGTGTGACAGTAAATCCTCCTTTGAAAGACTTTGCTGGCTGTGAATGGGCAGAATTGACTGCAAATTAATAAAAGGGGTTTTTGCAGGGACAAAGTGTTTGTTTCATGCTCTTGGGAAATCTCAGTCAGAACAGTTCCTTCTAACTGTTGTCAAATACTATCTCTCCTTCATGATTATATGTACACTCTATTTCCTAGGTGAGAATCTCTATCTTTTGATTTGAAGTATTACATAAAAGTGCTCAGAAAATATATCTTTCTTTTATCCTCCAGGTGCCTGATTCTAAATATGATTTGACTAGCCTAAATATTATTTGGCTAGTTGGTTTTCATCCAAGAAACATCATCGGTTGTGAAGGTAGTGGATAGCTCCCATCACAATTGATGGAGCTTCTTGGATGAGAATAGTAACATTTTACTCTTCTTCATCAAGGAAAATACAGTCCAATTGCTTTTTGAAAAAGCACATTTTAAGACAACTATGACCTGGATGACTGAGAATCTCCACAGACATTTTGATGAGGTATTTTTCTTTTCACTCTGAAGGCCTTCTGATGTATTATTTAAATATTTCTTTTTCCACTGAGCAGGTCAATTGTCAGGTGACAAGGACTATTTCATTGCTAAAACTCAGTCTAAAAATCTAACTGGAACAGTTCTGGAGAATTCATATACTTCAATGCACAAAACTTGTTGGCCACTACTTTCAGAAATATTTTGACCAAACATGGGGATATTTATAATAGAGCAACTGCTCTGCACTATCTCTAGATCTTTAGAACCCCTATTAACCTTTTGAAGCCATTCTATACTGAAGCATCTGGCATTCCCAAAACTGATTGTATTAACTCCCCCTGCTTGATCTACAGCGAGGATGGCTCTTCAATGGCATTTAGCTTTGGATAGACTGCTGAACACATCCTGGAAATTGTTCATTTTTGTCCCAGTTGTTTTGTTAGCCGCTCTGAGTCTCTTGCGAGTGGACGGCATACAAATCCTAATAAACACTATTTATACCAGTTTCACTTCTATCATCCTTATTTTAGAATAAATGAATTTCACTTGATTCAGCCCTGGATTTTTTCTATCTACCTTCCCTTTATTGCAAAGATAATAATTTATTAAATCTAAATAATAAATAAAATGGTTTCTTAGAAAGATCTTAACTGTGCCTGAGTTCATATGAAAGATGAACGCAGGATCTCAAATCACACAGGTTACCATAAATATGAATTAGCCCTATAGTTATCCAGTGATGAGATTCAAAAAGTTTTACTACCAGTTCTGTGTACATGGCTTGGTGGGCATGGCAGGGGAAGGTTGCCGCAAAATCCCCATTATCCAGTACCTTGAGTAGTCTAAAGGCAGTCATCCAACATGTTCTGCTTTGTTCATCCTCAGCACACAGCAATCTTAATTCTTTAGCTTCATTCCTTACTCTGTTGGGCTATAGAACAATAAAATATTAATTCTGTCTTTCATCTATGAAATTAATTTACAGTTTAGGTGTAATGTTCAAATCCTAAGCATTTATTATATTGTAGAATTCAGAGTGCTCGTATAAACTGAGAAATGTCTGAATAGGCATATAGGCATTATCTTCTTTTTTAAAAAAATCTAGGCAAAGTCTTAAAGTACAACCATCACTGAATTCTCTTGGAGAAGAACAGGTAAATCTTTTTGTTGTGGTTCACTATTATTGTCAAATGTTGCGGTGCGTGATGTTGTTGCTGGTAGTTGGTCCATGGCCTCGAGCTGGGCTGGGCCCTGATATTTTGTCTGCATGTCAGTCGTGAACTGTTGGGCCCTTAGCTGATTTATGTGTCTCTTCCACACCCTTCCATCCTCTAGATGCACCTCATAGGAGCAGGGCCCCGTAATTCTGACTACCCTTCCCATTAACCACACAGGGTGGCCAGCATAGTTTCTGGCATATACTGAGGTGTCCATAACAAAACTCCTTAATTGTCGGGTCGAGCCTAGGGGGGTGTCTGGAGCGTAATCTGGGTGAAGCCAGTCTAATCTAATTTTTAACCTAACCTAATTTTCAGACCCATTAATTGTCCCGCTGGACTTAGGTTAGTTATTGGGCACAGGGTGGCATGCTGTCACATGAGGAATTTATTAACCTTCTCCTGCCAGTTAGTTCCCTCCAGTCTGCCTAAGGCCTCCTTAGTGGTGTGAACCGCCCATTCCACCATGCGGTTTGCTGCAGGGTTGAAGGGTGCTACCTAAGCATGTCACATTCCCAGGTCTGCCAAGAACCCTGCAAAAGGAGCAGCATAAACTGTGGCCCATTATCAGTTACCAGAACGTTGGGTATTCCATGTGTGGCAAATAACTTTTGGAGGGCCCCTGTGACTGCCACAACAGTTGTGGAAGCCATGATTATTACCTCCACCCATTTTAAAAATGCATCAACCACAATTAGGAATATTTGGCCTCTAAACGGCTCTGCAAAATCTAAATAGATTCACAACCACAGTGTTTTAGGTTGGTTTCAATTTTGTACTCATGCCCTGGGGTCTGCGGGTCTGGATAGTTGGCATGGCATGGGGTGCATCTGAACACCCAACTAGCAATGTCCTGGGCCACATTTGGCCACCAGGCATAGTTACAGCCCAAAGCCTTCATTCTGCATATGCCTGGATGACCCTCAGGTAACAAGGATAGGATCGAGCCCCTCAAAGTAGATGGAATCACCACCTGGCTCCCCCATAACAGACAACCCTTCTGGGATGATAGCTCATGCTGCCAGACAGCATAAGGCTTGTAGGTATTTTCCAAATTCTCCATAGGCCACCTCCTAGGTACCCATTCTAACACCCTGACCAACGTATTGTCCTTCAAAATGTGTTTGGTGACATCTGCTGTGTTGAGTGGGAGGGCGAGGTCATTGATTAGCAAAATACAGGAAACTGTGGCAGGCTCTTCTACTTCTATTGGCAAAGGGCAGCGGCTGAGTGCATCGGTGTGGCATAAATGTTTTCCTGGTCTGTGATGCAGCATGTAGTTATAAGCCGCCAGGAATAAAGTCCAACGGGTGAGGCGAGGTGACAGAATTTGTGGGGATTGCTTATCCCCAGCAATAAGTCCAAGCAATTGTTTGTGGTCTGTGACCAGGTGAAAATGGCAGCCATATACTCATGGAATCTCTTAATTTCAGAAACTATAGCCAAAGTCTCCTTATCTAGTTGGCTATAGTTTCTTTCCAGAGGGGAGAGCGTCCTTAAAAAGAAGGCAATAGGTGCCTCAACTCCTGATGGTAGTTTATGACTGAGGACTGCTTCCACTCCATATGGAGACGCATCACATGCTAGCAGTAAGGGAAGCTCCTCATTGAATTGCAGAAACACAGTCGGAGGTTAACAACAATTTGAAAGCTTTAAGTCCTATGGTTTTTGTCTTTCCCCACACCCATTTAGCCGATCAATCCAGGAGGCAGTGTAGGGGTTCTGCATTGATGCCTTACGTGGTAGAAACATATTATAAAAGTTCAGCAGCCCCAGGAATGCCTGGAACTCTGATTTGTTCTGTGAGGCTGGGACTTTCTGAATAGCCTGAATCTTGGATGGTGTAGGATGTAGGCCGGCAGCATCAATTACATAGCCCAGGAATTCCACGCTAGGGCCAGCTATGCGGCAGTTGGTAGGTTTAAGTTTTAATCTGACGCTCTGGAACCGGCAAAGGACTGTGTGCAGCTGGGCCATTAGGTCAGCATGGGAGGTGGCAGATACCAGGACATCATCGAATTAAGGGATGACGCCTGGTATCCCCTGTAGTAAATGTTCCATTAAATTCTGGAACAGGCCAAGAGCCACGCACACTCCAAATTGGAGCCATCGGCATTAAAAAAAAAACTCATAAATTATGGTTGCCTCATCTACTGGCAACTGCTGATAAGCCTGAGCTAGGTCAAGCTTAGCAAAAATTGACCCTTGTCCTAAGGAATGCAGTGCTGCATTTCAGGGACGGGGTATGCAGTCTGCTGCAACCTGTGGTTCAAAGTGCATTTGTAATCAGCACATAAATGCACAGATCCATCAGTCTTTAATGGGATCACCAAAGGTATCTCCCAAGGTGCATGATCTACAGGTTCTAATATTCCTTGGGCTATCAACTTATTGAGCTCCGTGTCTACTTTGGGCTTTAATGCAAACAGAATTCGCCGTGGCTTGAAGCACCTCAGGGTGACTTGGGGGTCAATATAAAATGAAATTGGGGTGTCTGTATAGCAACCAAGTCCCTCATTAAATACTGCCGGAAATTCTTGGGCCAATGCTTCCAATTCCCCTTTTGAGCTGAATTGAACTTGGTCAATGACAGTCACTCTCAGTCCAAGAGCATCAAACCATTCCAACCCAGTAGACTGGGGCAGTTTCCCTGCACTATGACCACTGGCCACTTCTTACGGAACTGCTTGGAAACTACTCCCGGAGGTAGCTTCCCAATACCGGAATGGAACTGCCCTGAAAATCCCTAAGTCTTAACAAACAGGGAAGCAGTCTTGCTTTGCACAGCCTAGGCAAGATTCTTTTAGCAATGCTCCATGAGATTATGGATACAGTGGAGCCGGTGTCCACCTCCATTGAGCAAGTTTTTCCTTCTAAGGAAACAGTAACAAAAATCTTTCCCTTTGTCTTATGGACAATTTGGTCCACTAATGTCTCACTACTCTCATCGTGAACAGAATAACAGTTATCCTTTCTGTGAGATTGAAATATATTCTGCCTCCTCGGGTACATACTGGACCTTGTGAGTGAACTAGATGGGGGCCGTGCGGCAGGTAGGGCTGCCCTGCAAGCTCTAGCTATACGCCCTCGCTTGCCACATTTGAGACAAACAGCAGTTTTAAAACGGCAGTCTGCTCTTCCAGACTGCCCACACCCACACCCTGGGCACTTAGATTGTAAACTCTGGGGCTTACCCTGCTGACCTCTAACCTGCCCAGTCCATATGTGATGGACATCCTCCTCCTCAGCAGTCGCATTGTCAGGGCTGATATCTTCAAGAGCCAAGGTGGCGCAGTGGTTAAATGCAGCACTGCAGGCTACTGCTAGATCAGCAGTTCAGCGGTTCAAATCTCACCGGCTCAGGGTTGACTCAGCCTTCCATCCTTCCGAGGTGGGTAAAATGAGGACCCAGATTGTTGGGGGCAATATGCTGACTCTCTGTAAACCGCTTAGAGAGGGCTGAAAGCCCTATGAAGCGGTATATAAGTCTACTGCTATTGCTATATTGCTATTATTCATGGTGGACATCTATTTGTTTTCCTGCAGTTTACAGATTTGACTTTCTTTGGATTTCTTCTATCGACTTGTTCGACATCTCGATTGCGTGGGCTTCATCCAGCACAGACTGCAAGGTTAATTCAGTCTTGGCCAGGAGGTGGCGCTGTAGGTGGAGGTCTCGAACACCAGCAATGACTTGGTCCAGCAGGACAGTGTCAAGATCCCGGAACTCACAGAAAAGGGTGGCTACTCTCAGGGCAACTAAATAATCATTAAATGATTCCCCCTCACGCTGGTTTCTTCTGCGGAAAGCATGTTGTCGGGCTATGCAAAACGGTGCTGGGGCATAGTTTTTTTTTTTAGTTTAGCCATCAACACCTCCCATGGCACATTATGGACGGATTGTGGTGCCACTAATGTGCCCGCAATTTTAAACATTTCTTTGCCACATAAATGTAAAAAGCAAACCCTTTTTCTACTTTCTGTCAGCCCAGTATAGTCGTTTGCCTCCAAGAAATACTTGAACCTCGTTATATATGAGTCCCAAGTTTCTGAGGCAGCATTAAACTCTGTGAGCGTGTTCATTGACGCCATGCCAGCCCTCTCTCTTCAGTTGGCTTGATAGCGTGAGGGAAAATTTTTCCTCCCCTGGCTCTTCGCTTGACCTCTCCTGAAGTATTCCCCTGAGTGAGGGTTATTCAGCTCTTAGTGACTCGGCTCTTAGTGAGTGACCTGTTCCAGCTCTTGCCTGAGGTCTTTCCAACAGCTGGGATCTGTTTGACAGCTCTTTATATACTGAGCTGTCAAACAGGCGACCAATCAGAATGTGGCACAGCACCCCCAGCAGTGCGGACCAGAGGGAGAATTGCTTAAACATAGCAACAACAGGTAGTGTAAATGCATCTAATGAATTTACTGTTTTGGTAAAAGTCAGAAATGGGGACCGCCATATCCTCCATTAATATTATATCAATTTAGTAGTTAATAACTGCCTGCCATACCATTTGACAAGAGCCAACTTTGAATTATTTTTCTTTATCTAGGATAAAATTTAGCATAAAATCAAAATCACAATTATTTTAAAAGTCCTATAAAAATCTGTAAATTTTAATATCATGAACCACAAATCTTATAAGATTTAAAGTCATTATTACCTTTATACAAAAGCCATAGTCAGTCGGTGCACTGTACATCTTTTTGCATGCTATTAATGAAAAGATATTGCTGTCTTCAAGATCTGCTATCAATTGCAGGTGTCTTGGTTCCTGAGGAAAAATTGTAACAATTTAAAAAAAAGTCTTAAACCATTATTTTATATTATCTGAAAATAAAAAGAAAAACCACTAAAGGGTAATAAAAGCACTCTAAAATTTCTTAGTTGTTACATCTAGCAGCAATAAATTTGGTCAGTAATACTATCTTCCATATATTTAAAATCCTAATATGTGCTTAAAGACATAGCATTTCTTCTCTACCAAATGTTAAAAACCTTATAAAATGCTTTTAAAAACTGACTAATCCCTCACAATCTCAATTTATATTTGGTAACACTTTTTTCTGATTAACGTTTTAGATCATTCAGTGAAGTTCTGCTCCTTTACAGGTTTTGAGGTTTTCAGGGATGACTTCAAAGTGATGACAAATGGGAGAAAGATAAACTTCATTACAAAATGCTCATCTTTTAATAAAAAGAAAATGGCAAGGTCAGTTTAATTATATTTCAGATTTTCCTATGGGTTTGCTCTGTCATATTTCTGCAGATACTTTATATTTTCACTCTGTTTTGATAAATCTATTTCTTTAAATAACTCCCAAGCCTATTTTGAATCATAGAATCATATGGTTGAAAAGGACCATAGAGGACTTTTAGTTCCAAAACAGGAATTCTTACTCCATCCTGATTCACTTACTCCATCCTCACTTCAGCCTTTTCAATCTTTTCTTCAAGACTTCCAATGATGAAGCATCCACAACTCCAGGAAACAACTTATGCAATGTTGAACTTTAATCTACTTTAACTGTCTTTTAGTCTTTCTGACATAGCAAATTTGTTTACACAATAGGAAAGCCAAAAAAAAAAAACCCTTAGAGAAGGGACTATTTATTGACTGAATTGTTTAAAAAATGTATTGAAGGTCAATACTCATTTGAGCAGCTTTATTGATCCACAAAGGCAGAATCATATATAGGATTAAAACTGGCACCAGCTTTTGGTCTCTATTTATAAGTAAACTAGCCATTGCCTATAAGATACCTATTCCAGAAACTGACAAATTGGATTAAACAGGAAATAATCTTAATGGAGTACCAGGAAGAATAAGTGAATAATCTTGAACAAGATAAATGTATCCTTGGAGATTTCAATGTAGAACTTTGAACTCATTCCCAGGGATAAATTATGGAGAAAAACATTACAAATGGTCAGCGTCATCTATTTTTAATTCAGCAGTTTTATGTCAATATATCTTTATGAAATATTTGGGGTGTTTAACTTGTCTCACTCTAATGGCCAAGGGTTAAACAGTAATGCTGTTAATGTTTTTTCTATAATTATGTCTTTTATAATTATATTAAGCCAGTCAGAAAAAAAAATATTTTACTTATCCAAACTAATAAATAAATATCTTTCTGGGCCACTATATCACAACTTGGTGGTGTTTGTTTCACTTATACTGGGGAGTCTGGGGAGATCCCATCAATTCTCACCTCCTATTGAGCAGTGACATGTTTTTGACTATACAAATGGAAAGACAAATAAGATGCATATTGCGTAGCATCTCAAACGGCATATATACTATCTGATTGGAATCACATAGAATACACGAAGCTTTTAAATATTTGGAATTGGTCATCAGGACATTCATTTTGTGAAGATTCTATTTTGAATTTGGAACTGAGAATGCTTAGAAAACAGACACTGCTATTTTCTTGTGCAAAGAGGAAGACAATGCAGATGATCACCCACAGGGTTTTTCATGTGAAGTTATAACTCAGTGATGGTAATCAACACTGTAATTATAAAGATCACAACTCATTAGAGGGATATAATCTAAAACCTTAAGAACCTCTTAACTGGCATTAAGTTATACACCAAAATTAAGCTTACAATGAAATCCAGAGCACAGAATAATTGAAATTTACACTCCAGCGTATTACTGACAATGATATCAGTGCCTTCAAAGTCTAATGGTTATCTTTATTAAACTAGTCTAACTAACAAGTACCTTTGAAGACCCTTTTGTAGAGCAATAAAGTCCAGATTTCCTCAGACAACCATACAGCTTCTTCCATGATTTTCTTCCCAATTCTTTCACATGTAAAAACCCCTGAATTTCTGGACAACTATTTGAATTTAAAAATTTCTGTTGAAGATAAATGGAAATGTTGAATTCTACAATTACAAAGAAATAGGTACATACAACAGCTATTACTTACTAACTTGTTATTGTACGACTGCAAATATTCAGGCTAATTTTTTTTAAAAAAATTGTGCCACCTTAACATGACAGCCAGGCACTTCAACAGAGAAGAGATTTTCCAATTTATTTCTCTTGGAAAATATTATCATATTTAAATAAATAATTCTAAAATCTACTCATAAATAAAATCACCATATTATAATCAAAAGCTACTTTGGTTGCAAGTATAGGGGCATAGTACCATTCCAAAGATGGCTAATGACATAACCCCCTAGAATGAATACAATATAGTAGCAAGTTGTTATTCTACAATGAGCAAATCTATATAATCTCTGTTGATCACACTCCCTCATTTTGTTTTAAAAACAAAGCAACAAATATGTTGACAAGGGATATACTGTTCCTGCATCATTAGCTTCTCCAGCCTGATATCTGCAAGTATTACTAACATTTAATCTTCAAAATATCTAGTATGCAAATCAAACTATCTTGAAATTCTGAGAGTTCTAGCCCAATATATTTTGGCAGAACCAGACTTGAAAAAAACGTAACTTTGCTAGGCTTTATATATTATTATATATAAACATTTCCACAGGGTTACTGAGAACCAGTATGATGTAGTGATCAGGCATCTGATTAGAAACTGAAAGATTACGTGTTCTAATACCACCAGGGATATAAAACCAGCTGGGTGACTTTGGGTCAGTTACTTTTCTCAACTATAAGGAGGCGGCAATGGCAAATCACTTCTGACAGAACTGGGCAAAAAAACTGCACAAATGCATACACACACACACACACACACACACACACACAACACAAACACACAAGAGAACCAGTTTGATGTGATGTTTAAGGCATAAGGCTAAAAATTAGGAAATTCATCTAGTAATCTTGTGCCAATCACTTTCTCTCATAGCCTTGGAAGGGAGGAAATAGCAAACCATTTCTGAAACTAGAACTAAAGTTAGATGCCAGGAGTCAAGACTGACTCAAAGGCATGAAAAATACAGAGGAGAGGATATTAAACATATAAGGTAAAGATAAAGTTTCCCCTCACTCATATGTGCTAAAGATTCTCGACTCTAGGGGGCTGTACTCATCTTTGTTTCAATGCCGAAGAGCCAGTATTGTCCAAAGACGTCTCCATGGTCATGTGGCCGGAATGACTAAACACCGAAGGCACACAGAACGCTGTTCCCTTCCCACCAAAGTTGGTCTGTATTTTGCTACTTGCATTTTTATCTGCTTTCGAACTGCTAGATTTTCAGAAGCTGTGACAAATAACAGGAGCTCACTCTTTTACGCGGTACTAGGGATTCGAACCGCCAACCTTTCCGATTGACAAGCTCAGCGTCTTAGCCACTGAGCCACCGCATCCCTTTTTATTAAACATATATATTACAGCAAATATTTAATTATTTTGTAATTTTAAGTACATAGATACATACATACATACATACACACACGCGCGCACACACACACATTTAATCTATACTTTTACCAATTTTTTCTTAGGGAAAAACATGATTTTACATAATTTATACAATTTCTTCTTATATAATTTCTTCTTTTAAATTAATTTTGGAAATGACTAAGAAATATGATAGTTGTATATTTTTAACTGAAATTTTATTAGCTAACATGTAATTTATCCTTCTTTGCAAAATCTTAGGGTTAGAGGAAAGATTAACATCTCATAATTAAAGGCAGTTTTCAACAAAAGTTTGCTTTTAATATTTTTTCCAAAGGATGTGTCCTGCTTTAACTTTGCTTTGAAAGAGATGGCGCTGTTTCTGAAGAAAAAGTTTCATTGCCAGGAAAGATTTCACCCTGATTCACTGGTGTACCAAATTGCCCCCATTTCTAGCCAACTGTTACTCCTGCACATATTACTTCACAGCTAGATTAATTTGATTTAGGCAAAGTTGTTCTTAAAGACAATTTACAATTTATAGCTGGTACAAATGCAGGTGTATAACCCCAACTAGTTAACAATTACGTATACAGTGTCATGTGATCTGAAGGAGCCTCCTCAAAGACTACAATTAAAATGAAACCTTCAGTAGTCGGCCATACCCCGGGTAAACTGGAAATACTACCAGTGGCAAATCCTTCCCTCACCAGAACATCAAAAAGCCTTTGGGGGTGGTGGGGGTTTCCTCCTGAACTCAGAAAATAAATAAATAAATATATCTGAATTGGAGCATTTTGACATAGAATTGTTTGAAAGAAAAAAATAGAGAGAGAGCAAAAGCTGATCAGAATGCAGTAATACGACAATACTGCATATAAGATGCTGTTGGTGGTGGTGGTGGGAGTGGGAGGAGGGATCACTTCTTTTTCAGTTTACTTTTCATTCTGATTGTCATGAGATCTGTCAATTCCACTTAGCCATGGTTAACGATTACTATTAGAGTTTTAGAGTTTTATTAGAATTTGTAGGCCGCCCTTTTCCCTGAGGGGACTCAGGGCGGCTCACATAAAACTGGGAGGGGGGGGATACAAACATCAAGATAGAAACATATAATAAAATGGTAGGCAACATACATTCATCATTCGGGAGGGGTAACTATCCTTATCCCCAGGCCTGACGGGCGAGCCAGTTCTTCAAGGCTATGCGGAAGGCTTGGACGGTGGAGAGGGTACGAATCTCCACGGGGAGCTCGTTCCAAAGGGCCGGGGCTACTGCTGAGAAGGCCCTCCTCCTTGTGGTTGCCAGCCGACACTGGCTGGCCGATGGGATACGGAGGAGGCTTAATCTATGGGATCTTATTGGTCGCAGGGATGTAATTGGCAGAAGGCGGTCTCTCAAGTATCCAGATCCACTGCCATGTAGGGCTTTATGGGTGATTAATAGCACCTTGAAGCGCATCCGGAGATCGACAGGCAGCCAGCGCAGCTCGCGGAGGATAGGTGTTATGCGGGTGAATCGAGGTGCACCCGCAATCACTCGCGCGGCTGCGTTCTGCACTAGCTGAAGTCGCCGGATGCTCTTCAAGGGCAGCCCCATGTAGAGCACATTGCAGTATTCCAGCCTAGAGATCACAAGGGCCCGAGTGACTGTTGTGAGAGCCTCCCGATTCAGGTAGGGTCGCAACTGGCGCACCAGGCAAACCTGGGCGAATGCCCCCCTGGTCACAGCCGTTAGGTGGTGGTCAAATGACAGCTGTGGATCCAGGAGGACTCCCAAGTTGCGAACCCTCTCTGAGGGGTGTAAAATTTGGCCCCCCAGCCTGAGTGATGGAATATTAGTCAAATCTTTGGGAGGAAAACACAACAGCCACTCGGTCTTTTCTGGGTTGAGCACAAGCTTGTTAACCCTCATCCAGTCCATAACGGCCTCAAGACCCCGGCTCATCACATCTGCCGCTTCATTGAGTTGGCACGGGGCAGACAGATACAATTGAGTATCGTCCGCATATTGATGGTATCTAATCCCGTGCCTGCGGATGATCTCCCCCAGCGGTTTCATGTAGATGTTGAATAGCAGGGGGGATAAGACCGAACCCTGAGGCACCCCATAATTTAGGGGCCTAGGGGACAATCTCTGCCCCCCCACTAACACCGACTGCGACCTGTCCGAGAGGTAGGAGGAGAACCACCGTAGCACGGTGCCTCCCACTCCCACCCCCCGCAGTCGTCGCAGAAGGATACCATGGTCGATGGTATCGAAAGCCGCTGAGAGGTCAAGGAGGACCAGGATGGAGGAATGTCCTTCATCTCTGGCTCTCCAGAGATCATCAATCAATGCGACCAAAGCGGTTTCTGTGCTGTAACCGGGTCTGAAGCCTGACTGGAAGGGGTCTAGGTAGTTTGCTTCCTCCAAGGACCGTTGGAGCTGGAAGGCCACCACCTTCTCAACAACCTTCCCCAAGAAGGGAAGGTTGGAGACAGGACGATAGCTATTAAGAACAGCTGGATCCAAAGATGGTTTCTTCAGGAGGGGTCTCACCACCGCCGCTTTCAGTGCGGCGGGGAAGTTCCCCTCCCGAAGGGAGGCGGTCACGACCGCCTGGATCCAGCCTCGTGTCACCTCACTGCAGTTCGTAACCAGCCATGAGGGACACGGATCCAGAACACAGGTGGAGGTACTTACAGCTCTCATGGCCTTGTCCACATCCCCGGGGGTAACGTCCTGAAACTCAACCCAGAGCTGTTCTACTTGGTCCCCTTGTGCCTCGGCTGGAACTGCGGGGGTGGAGTCCAAGTCCGACCGAAACCGAGCAATTTTGTCCGCTAAGAATTGGGCATACTCTTCAGCTCTGCCCTGCAAGGGTTCCCCCGCCTCCCTTTTGTTCAATAGGGAGCGGGTTATCCTAAACAGGGCGGCTGGACGGGACTCAGCGGATGCAACCAGGGTGGCTATGTGAGATCTTTTTGCTGCCCTAAGTGCTCTGGTGTATTTTTATTGGCTTTTACAAGTGTTTAAAAGAACCAAATAAAAGTCTGTTTTTCCTTGTGTTTTGTGTAAGGAAAATAATATTTGGCCACACATTGTATATTGAAAAGCTACAAAGTATTTTAAATCAAAATTCAAAAAGGTATTTCAAAGGTTTGACTAGATTAATTTAAACTCAACACTATGCTAGTTCAGTGCTCATCTATTCTTAACATATTCCTTCTTTTGTCAAATCTATTCTGACAATAATGTATTTATTATCTCCTTTGCTCAACTTAGAAGGCTACTGCATTCCCTTAAAGGCTTACCTGTAAAAGTTGTGATTGTGGAATACAACCATTTGATTGCTGACACCAAGCAATCATCTGTTCTGGGAAAAAATTCTGGAGTGGAGAAAAACAGAAATATATGTTGGTAATAACTTTCTGTTAACATACATCTAACTAATTTAACACATAATTCTATGTATTAAAAATCTGAATACATTTTTGCTGAGTTGTTTTTATTGTTTGATATATACTCTGCATTTGTGTTCTGTATTTTTTCAATCATAGTAGCATTGTCTATTTGCCCAGATCTTTCTAAAAAAATTTAAAATAGCTGTCTAATTGAACAAGCTGTATCTTGCATACCTATGTAACCCCTCCCACAGAGATGGTTTTGAAACTCAACATCAGAGCAATATCATAGATTGAGTCATGATATTCACATGATTAATACCACAAGAGGATCTACAACTGATACTATAACTCTATGCAAATGTGATGATTAAGATACAGATATAGTCAATTTGCTTTCCACTTTTGAAATACAGTAATAAAAAGAACATTGGTCCTACCTGAACGTTCTTCTGAGTATGGCGCAGGATGGTCCAGAAGTGGGTTGCTCAATCCTTATTTGCTCAAGAGACTAAGTCATAGTTGAAGCCACGCCTCTAGCTCCTTCCTGCTTGGCTCCATTCTGACGAAATTCAGCTCCAACTAGAGGACAAAAGAAAAGCAGACCCTGCCCCGCAGCGCACCCAGAACTGTGGGCTACGGACCTAACTAACAGAGGCATCTGGACCGTCCTGTGCCATGCTGAGAAGAATGTTCAGGTAGGACCAACCCTCCTTCTCCAGCTGATGGCACAGGACGTTCCAGAAGTGGGACATACCAAAGTGACAGTCCCTAGGGTGGGGAACTCACTGGTCCATAGTTCCCAATGGATCACGCACTCTTTGAAGCACCTTTCGTCTGAAGGATGCCTTGGTGGACGCAAAAGCATCCAACCGATAATGCTTTATGAAGGGCAATGGAGAAGCCCACGTAGCCGCCCTGCAAATATCCCTAATTGGGGCCTGAGTGTTCTATGCAGCCGTGGTAGCAATGCTCCTAGTTTACCTCGCACCTCATAGGCCCGAGCAATGCAAGCTCTCAGCCAACTCCCAATGGTGGAAGGTGATACCCTAGAGCTCATAGCAGATGGCTGGAACAAGACAAACAGTGCCTCCGTCTTCCTAGTGGGTGCCGTCCATTTGATGTAGGTATGGAGAGTGCTCCACACTTCTAACGTATGCCAGGATTTTTGCCTATCATGAATGGGATTGGGACAAAAATCCGGGAGAACTCTCTCCTGAGCTCTATGAAAGCATGAATTTACCTTGGGAATGAAAGTGGGGTCAAGTCTCAGTACAACCATTGGGATGAAAGGCATAGAGGTCCTCCCTCACTGACTGAGCCCCCAGCTCCGAAATCCTCCTTGCAGATGTGATGGCAACCAAGAAGGCCACCTTCAATGTGAAAAACTGCAAGGAAACAGTCCTCAATAGCTCAAAGGGATCTTTAACAAGAGCCAAGAGGACTGTGGACAAGTTCCAGGATGGGAACTTGTGAACCACCAGACACCTATGGTTGGCTGCCCCGGATAAACCTTTTAACAACTGGGTGTCAGCCCAGGCTTCCATTCACCAGAACAGTAGACAGAGCTGCTACATGTCTATGGAGCATATTATGAGAGAGACCCTTCTTCAAGCCATCTAGGAATAATTCCAGGATGTGCAGCAGAGACAGGCCCTTGGGGTTCATTTGTGCTGTATGGCACCATTTGCAAAATGCAGACCACGTGGCATTGTAAATCCTGGCTGTGGAGGGGCACCTAGATGCGATGATGGTCTGGATCACCCTTGAGGAGAAATGCACCTCACTCAAGAGCTCCCTTTCAAACACCAGGCTCCGGATGGACCAGGACCCCCTGGTGAAGGGAGATCCTCTCCTGCGGTATCTTCAAGGGTTTGGCAGTGGACAGACCTTCTGGGTCCATGAACCAAGGTCTGTATGGCCAATATGGAGAGACCATGATGACCTCCGCCCCTTCCATCACTATCTTTCCCAGCACCCCTGTTATGAAAGGAAGAGGGGGGAATGCATAAAGCAGCCCCCGAGGCCACTTGCTGCACAGGGCAATGGTCCCCTCTGCTCCCCTGAGTCGGGAACCACGTGAAAAACCTGGGGAGCTGGGCATTTTCCAGGGATGCAAAGTGGTCCACCTCTGGCTGTCTGAACCTCCAGCAAATATCCTCAAACAGCTCTGGATCCAGTTGCCATTCTGTCTGGTCCACCATGGCCCTGCTGAGCCAGTCCGCCTGGTGATTTGCTTCTCTGGAGATGTGTTCCACCCTGATGGACAACTGATGCCTCTCCACCCAACAGCCCAGCCTGAGACTCCTCCCAGAGGGCCTTGGAATGCGTCCCTCCATGTCTGTTCACATGTGCCTTTGGGGCCATGTTGTCTGTCAGCAGCAGGACGTGACTGTGTGCTACAAGGGTCTGAAAGTGGTGAAGGGCCAGATAAGCTGCCCGCAATTCCAGCCAGTTAATATTATGTGTAAGATCTGAAGGAGACCAACGGCCATGGGCCAGCTGGTTCCCCAGCCAAGTCCCCCAGCCATAAAGACTCACATCAGTAGTCAGCATGAGCATCTGCAATTCCTTGAACATGCACCCATTAGACAAGGCTGGGGAGGAGGTCCACCATACTCAATTGTATCTGTCCGCCCCGTGCCAACTCAATGAAGCGGTAGACGTGATGAGCCGGGGCCTTGAGGCCGTTATGGACTGGATGAGGGTTAACAAGCTTGTACTCAACCCGGAAAAGACCGAGTGGCTGTTGTGTTTCCCTCCCAAAGATTTGACTGATATTCCAACACTCAGGCTGGGGGGCCAAATTTTATACCCCTCAGAGAGGGTTCGCAACTTGGGAGTCCTCCTGGATCCACAGCTGACATTCGACCACCACTTAACGGCTGTGACCAGGGGGGCATTCGCCCAGGTTCGCCTGGTGCGCCAGTTGCGACCCTACCTGAATCGGGAGGCTCTCACAACAGTCACTCGGGCCCTTGTGACCTCAAGGCTGGAATACTGCAATGTGCTCTACATGGGGCTGCCCTTGAAGAGCATCCGGCGACTTCAGTTAGTGCAGAACGCAGCCGCGCGAGTGATCGCGGGTGCACCTCGATTCACCCGCATAACACCTATCCTCCGCGAGCTGCGCTGGCTACCTGTCGATCTCCGGATGCGCTTCAAGGTGCTATTAGTCACCCATAAAGCCCTACATGGCAGTGGATCTGGATACTTGAGAGACCGCCTCCTGCCAATTACATCCCTGCGACCAATAAGATCTCATAGGTTAGGCCTCCTCCGCATTCCATCGGCCAGCCAGTGTCGGCTGGCAACTACAAGGAGGAGGGCCTTCTCAGCAGTAGCCCCGACCCTTTGGAACGAGCTCCCCGTGGAGATTCGTACCCTCTCCACCGTCCAGGCCTTCCGCATAGCCTTGAAGAACTGGCTCGCCCGTCAGGCCTGGGGATAAGGATAGTCACCCCTCCCGAATGATGAGTGTATGTTGCTTATTGTTTTATTATATGTTGTATCTCAATGTGTGTATTCCCCCTTCCCGGTTTTATGTGAGCCGCCCTGAGTCCCCTCAGGGAAAAGGGCGGCCTACAAATTCTAATAAAACTACAAAAAAACTACAACTACATTTCAGGGAGAGCCGCACTTGAGAAGAAACCCTAACAGGGAAAGGAGAGGCACTACGTTTGCTCCTCTGGTACCAGAGCAGGAACCATTAAAGGGTCCTAACATAAAGCGTTGCCCAGGGAAAAAGATCTATACATGAGATCATCTTGCCTAACAACTGAGATAAGGTGACAATGGGCACACGCTTCTGCACCTCGCAAACCAGTTTCACCAGGCTAGCCTTGCAATCCTGGGACAAGAAAGCCATTCTTGTGGACTGCCCCCAGATGTAGCCATCTGGTCGTGGGACTCAGGTGACTTTTTTGAAAATTAATAGAGAATCCATATCTCTGTATGGTCTCCAAAGTCCGGCCAAGGTCCTGAAGAGAATCCAGTGACTCTGCCCAGAGGAGAATGTCATCCAGGTAGCATTGTAATTTGATTGGGATGGACCTGAGGTGAGCCGCTACAGCCACCAGCACCTTTGTAAAAGTTCTGGGGGCCAACACTAGTCCAAAGGGCAGAGCCCTGTACTGGTAGTGAATACCAGCACAGGAAAACCTAAGGAACTTCCTATGTTGGTGAAATATCAGAATGTAAATAGGCTTTCATTAAATCAATGGAAGCCAAGAAATCGCCATCCCTAAGGCCTTCCAGGATAGAGTGAAGGAAAACCATCTTGAACCTTTTATATATCAGATAATAATTCAATCTTTTTAGGTCCAGAATCGCTCTCCACACCACCCTGAAGACTTTGGAACGATAAAGAGGTTGGAGTAGAACCCCCCTGCCCCTTTCCTCCTGTGGAACCAACTCAATAGCTTGAATCTCCACCAGGTGTGTAATCGCCTGACACATAGGTTCCCTCTTCCTTTCACACTTGGAAGATGTGAAAGTTCAGAAGAAATTCGGGGGTGTGGAAAGGAAAATCTAATGGTATTCCGGACCCAGAGATCAGAAATAATACCCTCCCACCAGTCGGCAAACAATGCCAACTGGTCACCTATGGGAGCCGCCGGTGCCAATTTATTTGTTTCTGCGGAAAGGGCATCCACTCGCCCCCCTGAAAGGGGCGCTTAGTCTCAGGCTGAAATCAGGACCTGTCCCTGTAGGAAGATCTATCCTGCCCCCTGTCCTGGCGCGGCTGAAAACCCCTGGGCTGGTACTGATAATCATTATCTGAACCCCTATAGTTAGGCCTATGGGTATAAGCTGTAAAACAGTGCTCCTGTTTCTTAGCCGTGGCAGGCAAAACCTTAAGTTTGTTCTTATCCTCAATAAGAATCAGGTCCATGACCTCGCCCAAAAGGTTCTTCCCCATGTACGGGGCTGCCGCCAACTGCCACTTCGCCTTAGCATCCACCTGGCAATTTCAGAGTCACACCATCCTCCTTGTTGAAACAGAGGAAGAAAGAGTCCTGGAGGCAAACTTAGCAGCATTCAAGGTGGCGTCTGATGAAAATTGGGTCACAGCCATGATTTTGCTGTCTTGCAACAACCTCACATTGTGCGATGGCATGCACTCCTGCATCTGTTCAGCCATATCAACATTGCATGGTTAAAGAAAGATGCCGAGGAAGCAGCCTAAATCACCCATGGGGCAGCTAGAAAGGTGTTGCGTAAAGCCAGTTTAGTCCTTTTATCCTCTGCCTTCAAGTTGTCCGCACACCATTTGCGACTAGGGAAGCCGGAGAGGCCAAGGCCACTACAGGAGCATCCACTGCCAGGATCTGCAGAGCTTGAGAGAAATCAGGTTCCATATTAAAGAAATGCCAATTGTTTCCACCTGTTGTGGGGAAAGTAACTGGTTTGGCCCACTGTTTTTGGATTACATCCAGGAACAATTTGGGCGCAGGAATCTCCTCCTTTTTGGCAGATTCTGCGAAGAATCTCCGTTTGCGTAGGACCTTCGTGGAAGTTGAGGCCACGACCGACGGCTCCTTCTCCTTCTGCCTCTCAGCCTCCATTTCAACCACCGCTGTGATCCTGGCCTTGAACAGCAAGGAACGAAACAAATCCGGGGGAAACAGGCCCACAAACACAGGAATATAAAGTTCCAAACCCTCGTCAACAGAGAGCTCCATCTCCTTTTGTTCTTCCTCCTCCTGGATAGACATCTCATTCCTCAGTGAGGGGGACACAGCCCTCTGTGCCCTGACAGAGGGAGCGGCCTGCTGCTGGGCCGTCTTATGCTGGGCCATCATCAGTTCCACATCAGTCAGGTCAGGAGACTGTCCCTGAAGAGCTATGCCATGGGCAATGGCCCAATGAATAAGAGATTAGATGTTATCAGGTAAATCATCAAATTCACTTGCAAAATGGCTGGGACCAGGTCTAGGAGCCGGTCTTTACTTTTCTGCTAACCTTGCATCATGTTCCAAGCATGCAAAAGGATGTTCAGCTCCCTCCTTCCCTTCCACCTCCGAAAGAGGAGGGGAAATAGAACTAGCCCTCGGAGAATCAGAGAGCCTGGGGGCAGGGGGAGGGGGACAGTTGTGCCACCCTCAAGAGTGGTGGGGACCTTGGGAGGGACAAGGGAACATCACCACCAAGCTGGGTTTCTCAGTCCCCCTCCCCAATCGGGTCACTCTTTCGCCTTAGGTTTGGAGGTACCTTGGTTTGAAATGGATGGAGGGTCAGCCGAGGAAGCTTTGCTCTTCTTTGAACTCCTGTTGGAAGAGGAGAACGAGGCAGCCTTGGAGGTCCCTTCACCAGGGGAATCAGCCATCCTGCTACACCCACCACAGGCACATCCACACTAGGTCACAGAAATGGTCCCAATTGGGAAGAAACATGGCCCAGCTGCTGCTCACACCGAATGCAATTGCACGGCCAGAACCCAGCAGCTGCAATGAGCCTCGTGCCAGCAACAAGGGCAAACAAAATGGCCACCCCCCATGTGACTCACCAAACAGGGGAAACCAAAATGGCCACCACCTTGTGGCACTAAACAAAATGGCTGCCACCACAAGGACCTTCTCAAAATGGCAGCCACCTAGGGGACCTCACCAAAATGGCCGCAGCCTGAGGGAACTCACCAAAATGGCCGCCCTCTGGTGGACCTCACCAAAATGGCCACCCATAATACTCACGGAAAGCAGCCATCCACCTGCTGATCAGTAGGACAGTCAGAGAGCCCTGAGACCACTCAGAAAGGTTGAACATCGCTGCCTGCCCCCCACTGATCATTGTTGTTGCCACATGGAAGTACCAACACTCTTCAACTGCAACACCGCCGACAGCCTGCCCCTGCCCCTGAGCACCAGCGGCAACATTAGGCATCATCAGCTCGTCCCCAGATGAGAGTCCAGCAATAAAGCAGCCCAGCAACAGTTAGCCAGCCACAAAAGAGCCCCGATAGCCGGCACTGCCAACGGTGCTCCCCCCATGCCAAAGGGAGCCATGCAAAAAACCCAAAGAGCAAGACAAAAAAACCAACACCAAAAATAAATAAAAGGGGGAAAAAACCAAGTAAAAAGATAACCTAAACAAACAATCCAACTCATAAGCTAGTTAAAATTACATCTCTATTCGGGCAAGACTAAGTCGGAATGGAGCCAAGCAGGAAGGAGCTAGAGGCTTCAACTATGACTCGGTCTCTTGGGCAAATAAGGATTGAACAAACCAGTTCTGGAACGTCCTGCGCCATCAGCTGGAGAATACTGAGTGTTTTCTAAAGATGAGGTTCTATTTCTTTTCATTTTATTCAGGGGAATTTTACTGCACATACTTAAATAAACATCTGTACTGTCCATTCTTAGATATCTGGTGCAAATATCTAAGTGTCTTGCATAGCTGTCTTATGGTGTATGTTCTAATTGCTAAGGTTATTTACTGTATGCTTTGGAGTATGCACCTTTTTCCCTCAAAAAAGAGGCTGAAAATCTGGATGCATCTGAATACAGCATTTTTTTGCCTCCCGAAACCCCACCCCTTCACCAAAATGGTCGTGCGTAGCCTTTAGGAGGCTTTCAGAAGTGCTCCTGGGTGCTGGGGAGGGGAGAAATGAGTGAAAAATGGGCTTGTTTTGCCCACCCCACCCTGCAGGAGCACTCTACAAGCCTCCTAAAGGCTATTCATGCCATTTGGGGGGGGGGGTCATTTTGCAAAAAATGGGCCATTTTGGGGAGATCTGCAGGTTGCAAAAAACTTTTAAATTTTTTAAATTTGCCTCTTGCATCTTACACTCTGGTGTGTCTTATACTCTGAAAAATATGGTTAAGTGTTTCTAAATTAAACTCAAGATGTACAATCTAGGAGTATACAGCTCCACAAAATAGTAATGATCTCTTCTCCAAATGGATACTTGTTGGCAAGACTGGCTTATAAATAAGTATCAGCTGCAGGCAAAAGATTTCTGCAAAAAATAGAAAGTAATTATCTTTTCATAAAGTAAAAAAGAATTGTTATATTGTTTTCTACTGAGAATTGTTCCAATCATATATAGTAAAATTATTTCATACTAGTGCCACAATATTTATAAGAATCGATACTGCATCATTTACAAAAGGAAAGGAAATCTTTTCAGGTCAACAATTATGATTACATAAAGGATAATTATAGAATGCTTACCACAGGATTCTTAAAGAATTCATATTTTGCATAGTTCTTCCTGAATAAAAATTTACTTCCATTTCCCATTGTAGACTCAACTTGAGCAAGCAGTTCATGATCTTCCAGGCATCTCTCTATAGACAGAAGATAAAACAGATATTTTTCATTATCTCTTGCAGCAGTGGTTCTCAACCTTCCCAATGCCGCGACCCTTTAATACAGTTCCTCATATTGTAGTGACCCCCAAACATAAAATTCTTTTTGTTGCTACTTCATAACTGTAATTTTGCAATTTTCCGATGGTCTTAGGCGACCTCTGTAAAAGGGTCATTTGATCCCCAAAGGGGTCACGACCCACAGGTTGAGAACCGCTGTCCTACAAAATCCTTTCCATATATAATGTATATTCCATATATAATATAGGATAATAGGATTGGAAAGAACCTTGGAGATCTTCTGATCTAACTCCCTATTCAGGCAGAGACTCTTTCCTATTCTGGATAAATGGCTGTCCAATCTCTTCTTTTGGAAGTAAATCATTCCACTGATTAATTGTTCTTGTTGTTAGGAAATTTCTCCTTAGTTCTAGGTTGGATCACTTATTAATGATCTTCCAGCTGTTACTTCTTATCCTACCCTCAGGTGTTTTGGAGAATAGATTGACCCTTTTCTCAAATATTAGAACACTATCAAGTCACCTGTCCTTTTCTTCATTAGACGTGACATATCTCCTTCCCAGTTTATCCTCTAGACTCTTTGTTGCTGTTCTCTGTACTCTTTCTAGAGTTTCAGCAACTTTTTTCTATCATGGTGCCAGAACTGGATACAGTATTCCAAGTGTGATCTCACCAGTACAGTATTAAGTGGTACTAATACTTCACATGATCTTAACACTATCCCTCTGCTGAAGATAGATAGGACCGATTACCTACCTACCTACCTACCTACCTACCTACCTACCTACCTACCTTCCTAGGTATCTAAGGTTAGCAATTCCCCCAGCTTAGTGTTGCCAGGAAATCTGATCTGTTTTCCTTCCATCCCCATCATTTATGAAGATGTCTCATTTCTATGAAGAGTCCTGGCCCTAAGACAGAGGCTGGAGGTACTGCATTGCATGCTTCCCTTCATTTACATGTATTTCTTTTTTTATTTGTCAACAAGTACAAGGAAACATGCATGAAAATACATGGAAAAATGCACAATAAAGGGATATAAATTTGCAAAACATAGCCATAAACACATTAAAAGAGTACATATAAATGGGACAGGAGGACAGGGACGGTTGGCATGCTAGTGCGCTTACGCACACCCCCTTAGGGACCTTTTAAGAAATGTGTATGGTCCATGGTAGACTAAGTAAAAGGTATGGGGGTTAGAGGAACTAACAACAGAATAAGGTAGTTCCATTGAGGATTACATCTTGAGTCAGCAAGTTGTGAAACCATCTGGTGGTACTGCTATCTACCCCACATTACTCTATCATACCAAGAAGTAGGCTGTGGTCTCTTTATTAAATACCTTAAAGGTAAAGGTAAAGATTCCCCACATACATATGTGCCAGACATTCCTGACTCTAGGGGGCAGTGCTCATCTCCATTTCAAAGCCAAAGAGCCAGCACTGTCCAAAGATGTCTCCCTGGTCATTTGGCCAGCATGACTAAACAGTGAAGATACACGGAACGGTGTTACCTTCCCACCAAAGGTGGTCCCTATATTTCTATTTGCATTTTTTACGTGCTTTCAAACTGCTACTGTAGGTTGGCAAAAGCTGGGACAAGTAACGGAAACTTATTTTGTTATGCGGCGCTAGGGATTCGAATTGTCAATCTGCCGACCTTTCTGATCGACAAGCTCAATGTCTTAGCCATTGAGCCACCGCCGCATCCCCACTTTTAAACACCTTACTAAAATCTAAATTATGCCTACAGCATTTCTCTGATCCACTGCTTTAAACACTTTGTCAAAGAAGACAATAAAGTTTGTTTGGGATGATCTGTTTTTAACCAATCCATTTTGGCTTCAAGTAATTGATTTGTTCATTTCTAGGTGCAAATCTGCTGCTTGATTATCTTTTCCAGGATTTTCCAGATATTGTCAGACTGATTGGTCTGTATTTACCTGGATCTATCAAAATAGTAAGTTATCAATTGCTTTGAGCAGTTGCAAAGCCGTTTCTTGTTCTTAGCAGTATTTCTAATTCTAATTTAGTGGCCTTTATGTCCCTTATTTCTTTTAAAAATTTAAAAAGATTTAGACAATGTTTAAGAAGAAATCAAAGAAAAAAAGTCTGACAGCCCATAGTTATAGTAAAAGGATATATACAAATAGTAAGTTCTCAACTGTTTTGAGCAGTTCAAAAGCAGAATCTTGTTTTTAGTAGTATTTCTAATATTGTCTAATTTAGTATAATTTAGTGCTCTTTGGATGCCTTCTTTTTTTAAAGTTTTTAAAAATATGAAAGATTTCAATTATTTTTAAAAAATAAAAAATTAAATATTTTTAAAAATGGTTTATGAAGGATTTTGTTTTAAGACATTTTAAGACAATACATTGGTCAATCTGATTTTTAGTCTTTGGAGTCTTTTCTTTTAAAGATTTTAATGATTCTAAAAATTAAAGTACTTAATTTTTTAAAATTTATTTATTTATAAAATTGGGTTTATGCAGGATTTTATTTTTTAACAATATTTTACTTCCTTCCATCTTTTGGAAATTGATCTTTTGCTCCCTCTTGAGACCAATGATGAAATAATACTTTAAAAAATAATCTTCTGCTCCCTCTTGTGGCTAGTCTTGAAATAAAAAAATCTGTAAACCACAGATGAAAAAAAAATAGATTGCATTTAATGTAACACTGTAAAAAAAATGTCCTTCTATTCTCCTTCCTGCATTGCCAACCTCCTTCTCCCTTTCTTCTCTCAATTGTTCCACTGATTTATTTTAACGTTTGCATTGTGGGCTTATATTTTGCTGCTTTCTATTGCACTGATGCAGTTTCTGTCATTCTCAGCCATAGCGCTGCACATCTCACTGCCATACTGATGGCATTCCTTCTTTTTCCTCTGCTTGTTAAACTTTTTAAATTCTACTTTTCCTCTTCTTTCTTCTCTACTCTAAGGGCTTCGTTGTATCCACCGCCACTGCTGCTACCAGTCAGCTGCTACCGCTGCTGGCTGTTGCTGCCATCACTACTGCTGACTGAGCATACTGTACCCATTGGTGTGTCCAGCACCGATGCTATTGATTGCACTTAGTGCCATCTTTGCACCCATCTTCCTTTTCCTTCTCCTGTCCTCCTCCTTTTTCTTCTCTTTCCTTTACTTTTTTAAATTTTATTTAAGATTTCTTCTATTTATTCTCCTTCCCCTCTTCTGAAGAACTGTACTATGCAGCTGTTTTCTTCCTCTGTGCAACATTTCTCCAGCCCCACTTCTTTCCCCTTCTTTCCCCTTCTCCTTCATTTACTTCTTTAATTTCACTTAACTTTGTTTGAACTTTAACTCTATACCTTCTCCACCTCTTTGTCCCATGGTGGGTTGCTGTTTTTATCTGCTGTGATGGAGTGCTGCTGCCATCGCCACCATCTTCACTCACATGCTAGAACATTCATAGAACATATTCCAAATTTGTGTGTGTGTTTCATTCATGTCCTGATTACTGCCTAGACTAGTCCCTGCAGTTTTCTTATCAAGATTTCAAAAATGGCTTGCCATTGCCTCCTTCATAGGGCTCAGAAAACATGACTGGCCCAAGGTCACCTAATTGGCTTCATGCCTAAATTGGAAAAAGAATTCATAGTCTCCTAGTTTCCAGCCTGGTGTCTTAATATTGCACCAAACTGGCTTTATATTCCAAAACTTACACGTCTATAATAAAACTAATTATTTTGGTACTTATCAAAAACCCTCATTAAATGATCTTTACACTTCAAAGGAAAAGGATATATGCAGCTCAGGATTGAATTGTAGAGACCTTAGAGCTTTCTAAGCTTGGTTGTTTGCTTGCTAATGTTTTGTCATCTGACTAGGTAACATTGCCAGCACTAGAAGACAGTGAGGATTGCTCTTTGTTTATACAGGTAGTCCTCGACTTACAACCATTCATTTAGTGACCATTCAAAGTTAATGGTCCCAGAAAGTGATTTATGATCATTTTTCACACTTATGACCAGCAGCAACCCATGGTCACATGATCAAAATTCAAATGCCTGATAACTGCCTCATATTTACGATGGTTGCATGATCACCTTTTGCGACCTTCTGATAAGCAAAGTCAATGGGGAAGCCAGATTCATTTAACAACCATGTTATTAACTTAACAACAGCCACAAGAAATGGGATAAAACTCACTTAAAAATGACTCATTTAGCAAAATGAGAAAATATGGACTCAATTGTGGTCATAAGTTGAGGATTACTATATACATTAGTTTGCCCTATCAGTGTGGTTGGGCATGGATAATTTACAGGTAATCCCCGAATTGCAACAGTTCACTTAGCGACCATTCAGAGTTGTGACATAACCCTTCCCCAAGTACTTACAAAACAGTTCCAAGATTACAAATGTTGCAGCACCACGACAGTTATTCATCTTACAAATGACTGCAACATTTGCCCTGCCTATTCCCTTCCCCTGCCTGTGGAGACTCACTTACCTTTCGAATATCTAGCAAACTGTCTCCTCTCCAGCCTCAGTGCCAATGGTAAGAGCAGAGCGAGAGTGTGCTCTGCTCTGCTTCCTTGACTCCCTGAGATTGCCTGTCACTTCTAGAGCGGCGGGCAGTAGTCTTGGTGAGTCTCCTCCAAAGGCCTCCAATCTTGGCACGGAAAAGCATTTGCATACTGTTGGGAGATTTTGGGCAGGGAAATCGTGTAGCTTCAAGCCTCTCATTGGCATGCAAACAACTTTCTTATGCAGACTGGAAACTTCTGAGTGCCCTGATCGTGCGGTACTTCAGGCACCCATTCTCTGCAGAAGTGGAAAGAGGCTGGAGAGGAGACAGCTCGCTAGATCTTAGAAAGATGTGTCTTCACAGGCTTGCCTATGGACACCCAGTCTGGCAGGATTGGTGGGGAAAGCAATTGTGGGAACAAGAGGTATGTATCTCAGTGGGTCCGGTGAGGCCTTGGGTC